ATATATATATATATATATATATATATATAATCAAAATAGCACTGATTTTTTCCATGTATTATTTGGCTTGCGGGACCAACATCAAACCCTCCCACGCAATTTCAGCAACAGACAGAGACATGGAGCAGGGCAGGAAGTGCTTTTCCAGTGATCAAGGGTGAATCTCGAAGAAGCTCCATGATGCATAATGAGGTCCACATGACATGATCACCCTTCATGGGGGGTGACATTATTGGGGCTTATAATCATAATTTGCTGGACAGCGAACCACAAAACCAAAGGTCTGGTTGAGCAGATTTTCAAACAGAAATCAATACACTTTGTAATTTTTAATTAATTTCCATCGAAGCCCCACTTTCCAAGTTATTATGATGCAAGAAAAAAGTGGAAGCATGCTTTTTTCAATATTATTCTTGCATATTTCAAATCTTATTTTTATTTTTTGCAACGGAAATTCGGCTGTAAAGGCATAAATTTAAACGTGAACAGTCGTCACTGAGAAAGGACTAATGTGCGCGGGAGATCTCTTATAAAAGCATGATAATTATCTGGTTTAATTTTTTTAATTTTAAATTAATATAATTTTAATTAATCTAGATTAACTTTCATGACTCAACATTGAATATAAAAAAATTAACTTTATCATATTTATTTGGAAATTTGGTTATAATTGTTTTTTAAATAATTTTATTTTTTATGTTAAAATATATATTTTTTTAAAAAATTATTTTTAATATTAACATATCAAAATAATTTAAAAATATTAAAATTATATTAATTTAAAGTAAATAAAAAATAAAAAAATTAATTTTTCTTAAAATATAAAAACAAACAACCTTTTTGTTACGAAAAAAAATCATTACTTTAGGATGTGGTTAATTGAAATTTGTTCCAATTAGGCATAAACTCTGCTGTTATGGACATATAAACAAAACCTGCATGATTAAGCAAACACTAACAAATGCAATAAAAAGAAACTTTTATTATTTCACAAAACATTGAATTTCTAGCTTCTATTGCATAGTGTGTAAGCATTTCCAACTTCTAGCTAAAAACATTTATAGGATATTTGGAATTTTCTGGATTGAATTTTAATGTTTTAATAAAATCTCATGTTTAGAATGATTTTAAATACCAATAAGTGAATTCGAAATGAAATTCAATTTATAAAAATTATACAGAAACAAATAAGAGGCCAACTGCTATGATTTACTACATTAAAGATGGAAAATTAATGATTTTTTTTTTTTATCTAAAATATCTTTTTTTTTTCCATGAGATAATAAGAAGAAAGTAAGGTAATTAGGATAATAAAATAAAATAAATTGTATTTCTTTTAAACAAACACGCGAATTCAATTTGTTTATTAACTAAATTCAAACCAAAAACTACAATTGAATTCAATTAAAAATAAGAATTAATTCCAAATAGCTTATTAAGAAAAGCGTTAACTACAATAAACACCCCTACCATACTGTACCATGGGGAGAAATTCCAGCTATTTGAAAAGAAACACAAAAAAATGGACATGGGAGGAAAAACCATGACACTGTCTCGTCGAAAAAACCCACAAAGAAGCCTGCTCAAACAACCTCCATTGTCTGCAATAAAAATAGATAAAAAGGGTATTGCTAATACATGACAATTGACAAAACTCAGACAAGATGACGTTGTGTGTATGTGACAGGAGCACTGAAACAACCCATGCTTCTGGGATAGATGTAATGAAAATTGATAAGCAAGAGCTTCAGTTGGACCCAAGCAGAAGGAACTTCGAGTGACATAAAATATAATATCCCATGGTCTGAATGATGCATTGTCTATTCCATCACAGGAAATTAAAAAGAGCTCCTTTGTAAAAGACAAATTACAAGAAATACAAGTATTCCTACAGCCATCGACCACCTTTCAAATATTTTGCCAGCATCCATTGACAGGGACTCTTGAACACCATGACCATGTGGCTTCTCTATCATTTGATTATCACCTCCAATGAGACTCTGCATGTAGATTCTAGAACGACAAATGACAATTATTCCCAGTTTGCTTAAATTATTTTTTGCTTTTATGGTTTTTATATGGTTTTGACGTGTTGGTGATAAAAATACATTTTAAATAACAAATTTCGGCACAAATACCATAAGCATAAAGATCTTCGGAGTCTAAGGAAATGGATGGCAAGTAAATCTAATATTTACAATGGCATAAACAACAAGAGTACAAAACTAGTAGCTGTTGAGTATGGTAAATACACCACACTAATCACACACGAGATGGCAATTACCTTGACCTCCGAAAGAGAAACTTGAAAGCAGAGGCCTAACATTTCTTAATCCGACTCATCAGGATTTAGCATACTAATTAACCACCAATTAATGAAAAGCAAACTACCAAACCCCACCGTGGACGTTCATTTCCCTGACTCTCTGTTCAGATTCCTGCCTTTGGAGCCTCATTTCATGATTAAACTTTCTGATAAACTCTTCTACTCGCCGATTCAACTCATCCTGACTCATCGACTTCTCCCTCCTTAGGGAAACAGAATCATTAAACGTGTCTGATTTCTTCAGTTCTCTCCTAGCCCAAGACACCGGATCATCATCATCGCAGCAACCACCACCACTTTCAGCAGCAACAATTCCATTGACTTTTTGCAACACCTTTGGAGGCGTGTCCCATGTGCCAATCTTCCTTAACTGCCTTGTTGGTGTCATCCCTTGCTTCTCCATAATTGATGTCCATGCGTCCTCCAGGGTGTCCTGCTGATCTGCCTCTTGTGTCAGCGGCTCCATGTCCATCATTTTTTGCTGTTTTTTAGCAGAATCTGTCAAGCAAGAGTCAGGAGAGCAAGGATCCTTGGATAGGTCTGTATTCGTCTTTTCTTGCAGTTCTTTACCAGAATTTGTCAGGAAAGTGTCAGGAGAGTAATAATCCTGAGAAGAGTCGATGGGTTTCTCAAAGGACAAAGGGGTGTCCAATTGTTTTTCCACTTCTTGTATGTCATGCTCTTGCCAGAGATCACTCGCATGATTGGTGCTACTTTGGTTTTGGCTTTTGAGTTTCTTAGAAGTAGAATAGGGTAATTTGGCATCGGGGTTTGGGTGTTGAAATGTGGAGGAAGCAACAATGGTGATGATGATAAAGTTGACGATGATGTAGATGTAAGGTGGAGATAACCAGCCACGGAGGGAGATCCACACGCTAGGAAGAGTGGAGAGAATTAGATTAAATGTGCAAGGAATTATAGCCACTTTGAACAAAATAAAAGTGGAAAGGATCCCCACAGAGAGAAGCACCGACTTCACAGCCCAAATTGCTGTCTCAAATCTGCTTGTATTGAAAGAAGAAATTTCAAAGAAGCTGGCCATTTGGGTGAAGAAATATGAGAACTCCTAAAACAAAAGGAACTGAAAATAAATGATCAAGAACTAAATAACTAAGCTTTCTCAAAAACTTTTAAGACTCTGATGACCACCAAAACGAGGAAAACTAAGAGACCTAAAACAGCAGTAAAGACCACACTTAATGCTATTTCAGTAGAACAGGTAGAGGGTAAAAAGAGAGAGCTCGATCAACTTGGAAGATGAAAGAGTAGCGTGCCGTTGAGGAAAGAGTCGAGACCTTTTCTAACTACCTAGACCCCTGCAGTTCATCCAAAATCTCTGGCAGGAGTGACAACAAAACAGTACTAATCACTGCTAAAATGAAAACAAAAGAACCCTTCAAAAATCAGTCTTGCGAGAAGACATTGGACTGTCTCCAAGATCTCATCTTTCAGGGAAACTGAAAGCATGAGGTGTTGCTTTCAAAACTTCGAAAGTGCAAATTCTGCATAGAGATTTTGCGTTGTTATTGCGCAGAGGCATAGAGAGAGAGAGGGAGAGAGAGCTTTGCTTTTCTGGTTGCGTTAATGTAGAAGAATTATGACCAGCCAGGAACTTATAAAAAGGCTAGCAGCAAATTGATACAGTACAGGCCAAGGACCACAGTACAAAGAGCTTTCTTTAATTCAAAAGAAACGCTTAAATTTCATGCAACTTTCCCTCCTTCGATTCAATCCTGGCCATCCAGTCATATAAATAACACTGGACAAACAACAAATTCAATAACGTTTCTTCCCTTTCAAACAACTTTAGCTTAATTCTTTTAATTTAGTTTAGCTGATTAAAAATATATTCAGATTAGCATTAAGGCCGCTTTCATAATCGGCGCCGCGCGGCTAATTACCGGTTAATAAAAAGGGTGTCTTATATAATATATATTTTAGTTTTTAAAAATTATTTTTAATATTAGTATATTAAAATTATTTAAAAAATAAAAAAAACTTAAAATTAAAAAATTAGTTTTTTAAAAAAATTGTTGGATCCAATAGACTTTTACTTCACCTTCATTTGTTTACTCATAGACTAGGCTCGTATGCTAATTAAGTGGTATTTTTTAACTATAATTTCTTTTTGAAAACTCAAGATTTTTTTTAGGAAGATCATTAATATTGGACGAGCTATAACTTTTTGGTTGGGTGGGACAATGTTAATAATGTTTTAAATTCTCAAATTAAAATATAATTCCGTGGGCTATTATCTATTTAATTAAACAATAAATTCTTCATCATATTAAATAATTTATAGACAAAAGATTTCACTAATATCTTTGTCACGGCTTGGCATGTGCACTATCCGGAAACTTCATAATGATATGGTTAACAAGCTTATCATATGATATCATATCTAGACTTAGATGTAAAATTAATGCATAATAGAGCTTAACGTGGAAAATGATTCGAGAATATTATATTATATTGTGATCATATAACAAAAAATAGAAGTGGAATGTGACCAACCATCAGAGCCTGCGGTGGGCTTCCTGACGTGAAAGATAGAAGACAGAACAATATCACTTTTGGTCTTGGACAGCCAAAAAAAAAAGGTTGGAAAAAGTTATTTTTTTTATATATAAAAAAAAACTTCATAATTGCTTCTTTTTCTTCTTCTTGTTTTTTTTTTTTTTTTACTTTTTCTCGTAAAAATCAAGTCATTCAAAAGGGTTTTTGTAGGTTATTTTGAAAGTATTTTTTAATTAAAAACATGTAAAATTAATTTCTGAATTAACATATCTTGATGATTTAAGATCATAAAAAATTAATTTAAAATTTAAAAATTCAAAAATATTTTTTAAATACAAAAACAAACACATTCTTATAAATAAAAATAAAAATAAAACATCACAAATGGTATCTAAAAATTGATAAGATGCTATCAGTTTCGTCTTCATTATCAAATTGAAAGGAAAGAAACTCAACCACCATCACCACGTATAGTATTCAAAAATCTTTTGGAGAAAAAAAAACAAAGAAAAGAAGGTTGCAAAAGTTCTTTCTCATGTCAATACACGTTTCTCTAAATTGTGTTATATATATATATATAACCCTATAGTTGCTTCTTCTTCTTCTTCTTCTTCTTTTTCTTTGATTTTTTGCTCATAAAAATCAAGTCATTTAAAAGATTTTTAATTATTGTTTTTAATAAAAAATATGTTAAATTGATTTTTTTAATTTATTTCTAATATCAGCATATTAAAACAATTTAAAATCATAAAAAAATTAATTTAAATTAAGAAAATAAAAAAATTTCAAAAATATTTTTTAAACATAAAAACAAATATACTGTTGTAAATTAAAATAAGACATCACAAATTGTATCTAAAAATTGATAGGATACCATCAGTTCCAACTTCATTATCAAATTGAAAAGAAAGAAACTCAACCACCATCATCACGTATATTATTCAAAAATCTTGTGGAGAAAAAAAAAAAAAACACTTGACAGGTGTCATGTCTTTTGTTGTTATTCTTCCACTCATTTCATTTCTTAATTTAATTTGTAGTAACAATGGCAGGTAATATTAACAAATCATTGTTAGAACATCCATCATACTTGATGCCATTATTAGATGAATTTGCCTCTGATTCATCATCTTGTGTTCAAATTTAAAACGAGATTACAAGTAAAGAATTTCTTTTTTTAATTCATCAATTTCTACCTAATTTCCAGTCAAAATCAATATAGTATTTCATTGAAAAAACAAAAACCTGCAATTATCAAATGTCATCGAGTTAAATTTGATTTAGGATTAGAATAAATTTAAAGAAAATTTACTGTTAATATGAGAATTCATTTTCTTGTTTTTTGATTAATTGTTTCAGTGATACTTTAATTACTAGAATTAAAAAGATATTATGAAATATAAACATTTTTGTAAATTTTATAAAGTTAATTATGAGAATCAAAGATATAAAAGAAAAAAATGATTTTTTTAGAATAAAATTTACATCTTTATATAAGTTATGTCAAAAACCAGTTATTCTTTTTCATTAAATTTTCAATTTAACCTATGGATCATCAAATTTATACAAGTATATTAATTTATTCAAAATAATATATATATTTTAAAAAATAACTATTTAGAGTTGACCAGCTAGATCTATCAATCAAGACGTTAAATTTGATAAGATTAATGTTCAAAATTCAAAATGGTATAAAGTGAAGCCCAATCTAGAAATCAAATCAGGTTTTTAACGCAACTTATGGTACAATTAGTATCTTATTGATTGAAAAGAATATTTAGGGCATTATCGATAGCCTGATGGCAAATTGTCAATGGGGTCTCCGTGTCCGGCCCTGGGAAACAGCCACCCTCCCCGAGCCCCCGTCCTCTTAATGGATGGGATCCCCTGTCATCCTCCCTCTCTTTCAAAACTGCAACTGCCTCTCCATAGCCAATAACTCTGCGCCACTTCATTCCTTTCTTTCAGTTTCAGTGAACTTGATGGTTGCTCTAACGTCTCTTTCCATCCATTGAACTTAGCCCTGCCAATTGAAAGAGGAAGACCCCTGAGTTTGTGCAGGACAGATGGGCAGTCCTACGCATTAATAAGTAACAATTTTATTTTATTTTTTTTAGATATTTTGATGTATTAATATTAAAAAAATAAAATAATAAAATTTTAATATATATTTAAAAAATATAATTTAAAAAACAATTATTAATACTCTCAAACACATCGTAAATAGAACAATAAATTAAATTTACCATTACCCTAATAATAAATATCGCAAACAATTTATACGTTAATCAGAAATAAATTATTTTTTAAACAAGTCAACAAAGAGAGAAAAGGAAGGTCAAACAAGAAGAACTTTGATTTGAGATGGTTTACTGCTGTTTTATTTGAGTTTGAATTATTGCTTCCCGTTTCCTTTTTATGCTGGAGCGGAGGGGCGAGGGGAGACTCCTTGTTTTTTAGTTCCTTTTTAATTAATTCGAATGGGAAGCCTTGTTAGTGGTAGATTTTGAAATCATAATTGTGCCTCGGTTTAAGGTCTAATCAGATTTAAAATCTGAATTATGAATTTATCATACAAACTCTAAAATAATATCATTTTATTTTTATAAAATAAAATAATATTATATTAAATGATTTTAAAAAAAAAGTTGATTTAGCAAGATTTTAGTCCAGTTTAATTAAATCAATTAAACCATTTGATTTAGACCAAATCAATCTTAAAATTAATTTAAAATGAAACTCGATTCAAATTAAGCTTTAAATTAATTATATATTGGACTAAATTTAAAAATTTTTAATTTTGTAATAAGGTTGTATTTTTTTAATGGTTAAGATATTTTTAATTGACTTTTACGGATCCATATTAATTACTTTTTCAACTGAAGTTTTAATTAAACCATCTATATCCTTAACATTCATTAGAGATTTTCTCATAACCTTCTTCAACTACTAGAGGATAAAAAAACATATTCATTTACTAAGTCAAATCTCAAGAATTTCAACAAATTTATCACAAGATTAGTAAAATGAAAATTATGCAACACTAATTGTCCTTGTAGAATACTTAATGCTTCAATTTTGTGATGTATTTTTCTCACAAAAATTCTTTGAGTTGACTCAACTAATTCAAATTAATTATTTATTTCAAATAATTATCCAATTGGGATAGATTTAATAGCTATAAATTGTAATATATTGTAATTTTTAATGATTAAGATAATTAACTATCCAAACTTGATTGTTTTTCAATGAAATTTTTAATAATCAAACCATCTATATCTCTAGCATTGATAAGAAATTTTCTCCTAGCCTCCTTTAAACGCCAGGGGATAAAAAAGCTTATTCATTTACTATCATTCTAGTATTTTTCTCACAATATATAGTAGGACATTCTAGTTAATATCACTGTAGATGGACATATGATTATTTTTGTTCATGGTACTTTTCTTGTATAGTCAAAATATATCCTTCTATTAGAATAAAATACAAACACTCCATTATTATCAACGTCCGTATGGAATTAAAATATCTTTCGTTGTCATAGGGTTTGCAAGCACTTAAGTAAGGTTAGTTGTTGGGGTTAGCTAGCTAGCTAGCTAGCTAGCTAATTATAATATTTAGTTAATGTTTGTGAGAATGTTTTAAAATATGGTAGAAATTATTTTTATAATATTTTATTTAAAAATATATTTTTTTATTCTATAAAATTTATTTTTAATATTGTGATGTTAAAATGATCTAAATATTTTTGTTAATATTTTTGATATTATTATCACGTTAAAAGTGAATATAAAAATAATTTATATTCAGTTTGACGTATTTAAGATTTCTTTTTCAGTCTTTCCTAGAATATAACTTGAAGTGATCACATAAGAAATAAGTACCATCCCTTCTTAGCTTCCAGGGATGTTCTCTCTCTTTTGCCGGCGAGGGAGATGAGCACAAGTTGTTTCAATTCAAGAATGTCCTGGCTCGTTTTGACTCCGTATAGAATGGGACACAAGGGGTCTCACTCACTCCCAATGGTAGGAGCTAAGTGAGAGGCTATAGAGTTGTTGCCACTAAACACCAAAGTGGTGGTGGTGTTAGTAGAGGTAGT